CTTCCCATGGCTTCACGCCCCACACATGGGAAACAGCTTCAGGCATGACCTGTGCTCTGGATCCTCAGGAGGGTCAGGACCCCGTGTCAGGGGCGTGGTTGTGAGCAAGAGCAGCACCACACCTGCTGATGGGTGCTGAGGTGGGGGCTGCTGCAGCATTCTGCCTCCTCACACATGCTCCCCACAGGCACTGGTGCAGTGAAGAAGGTTGCAGCTCGTCCCACTACCTTGTTAGATCATTTTGATATTGTCTCTGTGCCCCAGTTTTGGAAACCCAAACCAATTTATGTGTGCAATGGAGGAAAAATTCCACTGGGGTACTTCTGCCAAGTGATACAGCCCACAGCACACTCCCAGGCAAGGTGCCATTTGCAATGGGTTGTAGGCAAGCACATTTGCCAAAGCTGGGAAGACACGAAGTTCCCTTGCAACCAACTTCATGAAGGACATCTGGTAAATCCACAGAACACACCTTTACCTGCTCAGACTTCTCCTTACATGCATGAAATGCAGACTTGTTTCCAAAGTGACAAATGAGACAGTGGAATTGGAAATGTCTCCACTAGCAATATGTGACAAGAATAAGAGCAGTTCTGGACAGCATCAGAGCTTCAGGCTGCTTAGATTCCCTGGTATCATTTTATGTTCACTTTGTAATTTTAAGATTGTTGATGTTTTATGGGCAAGATATTTTTTTCTTTAGTTAATTATTAGGATCTGGAAAACAAGATTGCTTCCTCTGAGAAAAAAAGCCACTCGTCTTCCCAAATTTGATTGTTAGACTTCACCCTTAGTAGAAGACTTCTGTCTTCTGAATGGCAGTGGAATAAGCAATGTTCTTGACATCTTGACTTCTTATTCATAGAAACACAGCAATTTCAGCTCATAAGGACCTTGGCAGGCTCCCTAGTCCTTTCCCAGCTGCAAATGGGATTCACTATAGACAAACCAATCATGCAAGATGTTTGTGTAACCCAACCTTAAACTTATCCAGTGATTTTTCTCCAAGATAGGCATCCTATCCTAATGCCTGCTCTATAGAGGATAGTCATCCTGTCCTAACACTTTCCTAACTGTTAAAGAGTTTCTCCTACAGCCTTGCTACAGACCAAGCTGCTCAGGGCTGCAATAATTCAGCCAGCAGCTGAGAGCTTTTAGCCATGGGTATGACAGTACCATAATCTCCTGTCATCATGTACTTTGTATCTTTGATTATTTAGAGATCAATATACTGACATGTAAAGAAAAGGATATGTTCAACAGAACACTTGACCTCAGAAGCTTCTTATACGGGAAGGCTTTCTTGTAGATAGAACATACCCATCAGACACTGCAAGCTCCATAGAGTTCAAGATTTTAGGGCCTGAAGGGAACATTACAACCTTCTAGCCTGAACTTCAACATAAAATAGGCTATAAAACTTGACCAAATAATTTATGTGTCAGGCCAATATCTTCTGGATGAGTTATAGATCACCTCTTAAAAACTTTCAGCCTTGATTTGAAGACTTTGTGTGACAGACAGAATTTACAGCATCTATGGGCAGGTAGCTCTGGTCAGTCTTTGTGTGTCAGCAGTTTTTATTAATACAGCAAGTGTCTCTTCTTGTCGTATTAGCGTTATCATGTCCTGTATCTACAGTACAACATATGGTGGAAGGATAATGTGAAACTGTCAAGGGACTGCAACTTCAGTTGATCACTAGTGCTCCCCAAAGTTTAAGAACACAGCTAAAATAGAAACATACTGAGAGGTAGTTTTATTCAAAGTACTTTTCCCTGTATAGGATTTGAAAGGAGACAGGCAAGAGCTCCATGGCCACTTCCACTGTCAGAACAGGCAGAGGAGAGCAAGATAACTGACACTGTGCTGGAAGAATCCAAAAGCCATTGTAGAGGAGATGGAAGAGCACAGGGAGAACAAGTCTGTGACCTATCTGTGTGAATCATCATAGAATCATAGAATTGGTTTGAGTTGGAAGGACCCTTAAAGATCGTCTAGTTTCAACCCCCCTGCCATGAGCAGGGATATCACCCACTAGATCAGGTTGCTCAGAGCCCCATCCAACCTGGGCATGAACACTTACAAGATGAGGCATCCACCACTTCTCTAGGCAACCTCTTCCAGTACCCCACTACCCTCTGGATAAAGAATTTCCTCCTAACAGCTAATCTAAATCTATCCTCTTTCAGTTTAAAACCATTCACCCTTGTCCTATCACTGTTTGCCCATGTAAAAAGTTGCTCTCCTTCTTCTTTATAAGCCACTTTTATCCACTGAATCCACTGAAGTCTGCCTAGACAAAGACAGCTTTGAATCCTATGCTGACAGAAATGTGATAGAAATGGAGGAGAAGTGATATTTTTCTGCAGACTGAGGGGGTAATGACAAACATTGCTTCTGGGATTCAGGTTGTCCAAGGACACAGAAGAAGGCTGGAGTAAAGTCAAGACTGAATGAAGAAACAAATCAGCCCAATATGTGTGCCCTGGATGAGGGACAGATTTGCAAACAGAAATGGGAGAAGTGGAAAAGTTTGGCATCAAGGATAATGCAGAATAATTGTGGAAGAAGGCAAACGATGAGCTGAATCAGAAACATATGAGAGGATCTGAGGTTTCTAAGGTTCCTCTCCCCAGGAGACCATCTGAGACATTTAGATGAGGAAAGCTCAAATAAAGACAGAATTTCTTCTGGTTGAAAATATTGCCAGAGATTAATCACACAGGTATTGAAATATAAGTAAGTACTGATATATAAGTTCAGTTTCCTAATCACAAAAGCTTGCAGAGAGGCAAGGAGGAATGAGAGATGGCCTATTGAAAAGCAGACAGCCATGGACTGAGTTTTGCAGCTCAGTCACCAGATACTCACAAAGATTTGGCAGAGGCAGACAGAGCTGCCCTCACAGCTTTGAGGACACGATCAGGAGAATGGAGTGCCCTCCAGCACCCCCATGAAAAACACAGATGAGGGAGTATGTAGTACCGTTGGGTGACATTCCACTTCAAAACCCACAAGAAAACCCCAGGGGGCAGGTGATGGAACGTTTGGAGCAAAGCAATGAAAACACCAAGAAACTCGGTATACATCAGCAAAGAACCTATGTCTATATCTCTATAGCCTGGCAGTAGTTGGAGCATTAACTTTGTATGAGCTACTTCCAATCACCAGTCGAGGAGGCACAAAATGATAGAGGTGACACGTACTGTAGAGTGGCTCTCAGGCTGATAAGCTCTGCTGGGCTTGTCAAGTTGAGCTCTGTGTCAGTACTGCATGAGCTAGCACATCCAAAGAACCCACCCCTCTGTACCTATCTGCTAATGCAGACAAGACACAACCAAGGTTTGATATGGTAGAATTGCTTGAGATGACCCTCACAAGGCTTGTAGCACAACCTCCCCACCTTCTAAGAGTGAAGCTGGCTGCTCAAGGTTGTTAGGAAAGAACTGGAGGGTCAGGTACAGTGTGACAGGACCCTGGCTGGAGGGATCCTGCTCCAGTGACTGTGTTATAAAATTTGGCTCCCAGCTCCCTGTCCCTTAGGGAGCAGCCAGCCACTACAGTACCCTGGCAGTCTTCATTCACCTCTTAGGAACCATTTCCTTCACTGTGAAGTCATGAGTTGCTTTAAAACAGTGGCTGGGAATATCTGAAATACCAAGTCAGTACATGACCACCTTGCCATTCTAATAGAAGACAGCCTCATCAATCCTGCCATCACAGTGGAGGTGCCTCTGGTTTGCTCAGGGAAGGTATAATATTCAGCACCTGCAGCAGTCCCAATCTTTTGGCAGGCCAAGACTTTAAACCAGGATTTCCAAAGTATGCAGTCTATGCCACACCTGTGGCCATCCTGGACAGATCCCACAATTTTCAGAGGCAGTTCCCAGCCCTTGTTGTGCCACAATGCACTGGCCACTGCAGAGTCTTCTCCAGAGACCAGAAGAACCTCCCCTTCACAGGAAAGCAGCAGTCATTTGGCCTGATGGACTACTCCAGAGGCCTGCAAAGCTAAGAGGAGGAACAGGGAGCTGCTTCCCCTCGAAGCTGAAGCAGAAGATGTGCTTTTCATGCTGATCTGGAGCTACAGTCCTAGCCCCAGTTCGGTGTTCCACTGATTAACTGGCACCCATGGACAGACTTTGGGAGCCATGCTGTGGACTATTGACCACTGTCGTGGTACATGCTGTGGTGGAGCTGTGGCCTCAGGTTGAGTGAAATGAGATGCTTTAGCTTTCTCTTAGTTTAATGTCTTTGGCTGGGGTAATGCTGGCAAGGACAAGCTGTGTGGTATCTTGCCACAGCTGGTGAAAGGCAAGTTACTGAGGAACTGTGCAGTTCAGAAACCATGGCATGGGCATGGGTGTCTAGAGAGTCCAAGCAACTGTTTCAGCTCCTCTGACGGCATGAATGTTTCTCCAACATGTGAAGCTTCCAGCTCTACATTTTCAAGGAACACTGTTTAGTTTTAATTCTTGGGTTTCCTCCAAGGTCCCTAATTTCTCTGCTGATCACATATTTATCTCGGAATATGGGATAAGCAAGAAAGCCAGAGAGTCCATCGTTTCCCTGCTCGGAGGCTTTGCACATCTCTCCTCCAGGGCCGGTGCCCCACGCCGTGCGTGTTTATGAGAGCAGGGATACCTCCATCCCTCCCTCCCTCCCTCCCTAACCCCACCTCCCCAGCACGGCTGGAGGCGAAGCGGGGCCGGGGCCTACGGGGCCGGGCCGGGCCGGACCGACCCTTCTCTGGCGCAGGGGCGGCGGCGGCCCCAGCGCCCGCCTGGCGGGCACCGGCCCCCATGCCCGCCGAGCAGCGGCCCCGCCGCCGCCGGTGCCGGCTTTTTTTTGGCATCCCTGAATCGCGGCTGGCCCCCTGTGATTGGCTGCGGCCGGCTCTGACCCGCTCGGGCCTCCCGGCTGGGCGGATAAAAGGGGCCTGAGCCGGGGCTCCAGGCATTCCGCCGGAGCGGGCACCAGGGACGCCGGCCGCAGCAATGAACGGGCGAAAAGCGGGCGCGGCGCTGGCCCCCCAGCCTGCCCGGCAAGCCCCATGCCCGACAGGCGCGGCCTGGCCGCCGCCGCCACCGCCTCCGCCGCCCCCCGCGGAAGGGGGTCAAGCCCAGCTCCCGGGCCCATCCTCCCCGTTGCCCAAACCGGTTTCGGTAATCCCCAGGAGATCCTTGGGACTTGAACAAGGGCCGGCCGTCGCACTCCGGCGCCCTGGCTCTCTGCCCGCGGGCACACTGCTGGCGGCCCGCTCTGTGCTGCAGCCCGCCGGGGTGGGGCGCGTGAGGCATGGGGCTACCTGGGGGCCGGCGGCAATCCCTGGCTTTTTACACTCAGCCCACCTCCTGGAGGTGCTCTCCGACCCCAGAGCGTCCACCTGCAGCCCCTGCCCGGGCTCCCGGGCAGCTGGACAGCAGCCGACGGCCATGCTCAGGTAGGCACGTCCCCGGCCCCGGGGACTCGGCGCCCCCACCAGCGCAGTCCGCCCGCGATGCCCCCGCGCCCCCGCCGGGAGGCCACTTGCCCGGCGGCGGGAGGGCGATTTCGTTTCGATTCCGAGGAAGAGGAGAAGGGCGAACGGGACCGTATTTTCCCCCTTTCGGGGCTGCGGCCGCTACGTGACGGCGTGGCCGGGGGCGCCCGGTCCGGGAATGCGCGGAGCCCCGTCGGAGCGGTCCCCCGCCACCCCAAGTCGTTGCCGGAGAATTAGGGGCCTTTCGGCATCCTTTTCCTAGACGGCAGCAGCCTCCCACAACTCTTCCTTCAGGCCCGTTCCCGAGGCCTCCTCGGGTACCCCTGGAGCGGCAGGCAGCAGCGCCCGACCCTGGCCCCGAGGGCAACCCCTGGCTTCCTCCCGGCAGCGGCCGGAGCCGTCCGACGCGGTTTCCGTCCGGGTCCGTGCCCGCAGCACGGCCCGCCGAGCAACACGGCGCCGGGGCCGGGCAGGTTAGAGTGGTGCCGCGGGCAGGAGCGGGACCGGAGGGCGGCCGGAGCGCGCATCGAAATGTGGGTCCCAGTTCCGTCCCTCGGCTGCTCCTTCGGGGCAAAGGCGGCAGTGTCCTGTCCTTAACATCCCCGGGCCGTTGCATCCCTTGGAAGTCGGGGGCTGCGGATAGGCACCAGCTCCTCCCGGGGTTTGTTTTTGCTGGTAGCTCCATAAACCTCAGTTTCTCCGTCCCCGCTCCGGTGTTTCTGCGGCGCAGTCCGGGATCCCCGGGCTGGGGCAGGCGGCCGCTGATGCCCGGCCAGGGGCAGGGGGTTGCAGCTTCCCTGTTTTCCTACATTTTGGTTGAGCTCTCCGGGCTCTGCATTTTAGCAGCGAGACAACAGCAGCCTCAGCAAACGACACTGGGGGAGAGAAGCGAGAAGCGAAGGCGCATGCAGCCTGGTCCGCCGGCCCGGAGCCTTCCCTGTCAGGGTGGATCGCCCCGAGCTGCCCTCACCGGGAGCGGGAGCGCGCTGGCCGCGCCCGCGCTGGAGGGAGGCCTGGCGTCGTGCCCCGTCCGCGGCGCGACCGAACGAAATCTTCGCGGCATGAGCTGGGCGGAGGGCGGGGGCGCCGGGCCCGGTCTACCGACCTGGGGGTCTGGCGGGGAGGGGCCCAGCCCACAGCCGCTGCCTGTCTCTCCGCAGATTCCGAGGATGTCTCCTCCAGCGACCGAAAAATGTCCAAATCTTCCCTAAACCAGAGCAAGAAACGAAAGAAGAGGCGGCACAGGTAAGCCAGGGGAGGCCACCCCGCCGGCTCTCGCCGCCTCAGTCCCCAGGGAACCGGGCACCACCGAGCCCCGCCGCGCCGGCGGGGCCGACCCGCTCCGGCCTGGAGCAAAATACTCTTCCCGGCACCCGCCGCCGGAGCGCCCCTGCGGCTTCTCCACCGGGTCCTTCCCTTTTTCTTTCTCCCCGTCCAAAATAAATCGGATTTGGGGACGTGCCTACAGGGAGCGGGGGGATCGACCACAGGTGTCGTTTTAATAATTTTTTTCTGGCTGCGGATCCAGGTATTCCCAGTCGCAATGCCGAACAGCACATGAGCATCTAGGCGGAATAGGGATCACCGGTGTTCGGGAAGGGAAGATCATCTACCTGTCAGAAATAATAAAACCCGTTATCGGCTCCACATACAGCAATCTTAATATTGGCTGTCAGCAAGACAGAATTCCTATCAATAATTTAAATATTTTATTACTTAGAAATAAATGTTTTGCCAATAGATTAAATAATTGGGAATCAGAGACAACCTTCAGAGAAGCTGAAGAAGGCTGGAAAATTGCTTAAGGAAACGAAGATCCTCTTTGGGATTTGGTTCCCCTCAGCATGGTCAGACTTTGCCTGACTTCTCCCACAGTTAAAAAGGAGTTGGATTGTCTGCGCCTTATAAACAAAAACAAAAAATCCTATGCTGGGTTCTGGCGTTGCTGTGGCCGGAGCGCCAGGACAAAGGAAGGCCAGGCACCATCCACTGAGGGTGATTTAGGAATAATTAAATCAATCCTACCACGATGCAGGAAAGGTGGATTAAAAGACGCCCCAGTGAAAGCTTACCAGGATACGGGGGTGGAAGGAGACCGACTGTCCCAGGAGGCATCCTGCTATATATGCAACAGGGAGCTCGGTCTGTAGGGCTCATCCCGAACTCGGAGCCCCTCCACAGGCAAATATTACTAGTTTGGGTGCTCTGGAGTAAATACGAGTTCATCTTCTTTGTGGCCCGGACAGGGCTGAGCGAAAACACAGCCGAGTCTGGTGTACAGGTCCCCGTCTGGATGGGGATTTGTTTCATTTTCAGTTCTATACAGAAACAGACCTGCAACATTTTTCTGTAGTTGTATATTCTGTACTAAACGGTTAAGACCCCTAGTTGGACCAAGGAAGGGCTGGGAGATGACCAATAGGCTGCATATAGCTGCAGGATAGAAACACCAAAAGGGGCAGTGGATTGCGTATTGCAAAAGGGACAGGGGCTACCCGAGGATGAGCTAAAAAGGGAAAACTTGAACTGAACGTCAGGCAAAACCCTCCTGCTGCTGAGCCTGGACGGGCTTCTGCGCTATTGTCGGAGGAAGGTGGAGGGGAATGCTTGAAATGTAAACTGGATCAAAACTGGAATAATTTTTTCTGTGGTCCCAGAGAGAGAAAATACACGAATTGATGTGGCTCTGCTGTCCCTAAAATTCACAGATTTGTCAGAATTGAAGAAAAACGGTTTGAAAAGATAATGGATTTAAGAATGAATTTAAAGAAGGGTCTGGTTGCAGGCAGGTCCCTTGCATTTGCATGCTGCTTTTGTTAGTACTATTATCGATCTGATGGAATCCTTTTCATTCTGTATAGTGGAGGATATTTTGAGAATTTCTGTTTATGCTCTCTGGAATTGTAAGGCCCTTCTGAAATCTGGATATATTTTGGAAAAAGACTATTTTCTCTTTCCTTCCAGGAGCTATATATTTCTTAGATTGATGATATTTATACATTGACTTTGCAAAAAGGCTGCAGTTCTTGGGTTGGTAATTGTTTTATTTTGGTTTGGGTTTTTTGGTTGAATTTTTGTTTTGTTTTGTTTTCTTGGTTGCTATTTGGTTTTGGGGGTTTTTTGGTGTTTTTTGTTTGGTTCGTGTTTTTGTTTGTTCGTTGGTTTTTGGGGGGTTTTTTGCCATCAGAGTATTGTTAGTTTATATGAAAAATTGCATTTTCTGTACTGGAGGTGTTGAAGGGTGGGAGTTTTAATCCTCGGGGAGTGGAAGTGGTCTGAGACTTCTCATCCATCTGCTGGAGAAGGGCTTTCATCTGTCTCAGCTTTCCAGCTGCTGATTTTTCAATTTGGTTGTCCCAAACTGAGAACTTGCTGTGCAATGGCAGGTTGGGCTGCTGCCCGCCCAGAGTGGTCCAGGAGGATTTCCAGAGGATAATAGGGTAATGCAAGCTGTCAGGGAGCAGCTAATGCGATATCAGGGTGGGAGCAACCAGGGGAAAGGTAGAGGAAGGGAGCTGGCCCTGACTCTTGTGGGGAAGGAGTGGTGAAAAGCGGTGGGGAGTAGAGTGGATAAAACACTCAGAGAATTCATCCATGGACTGGGACTCGAGGTGAAGGATTATTTACTCATGGTGATTGAACAGGCGAAGAATCAGCAGCTGGGAAAGGGCTCAGCACCTCTCTAGGCAGGGTGCTGAAAGGATGCTGCTTCATCTCAGTGTGACTATCAAAGGGTTAAGAAATGTCTGGATGAAAGAGGAGGAGAGGTGTGGTTTTAAGCCTGGCCAGGGGTGGGTTCAAAGTTGTAGGGGGCATAAAAGAGAAGGACACCAGCCAGGATCCTTGAAAGAGGCAGTGGAGTCTGAGATGTAAGAGCAGCTGGCATCACTGTGGGTGCTCGCTGCTGGGGAGGGACAGTCTCTAGAGGCAGGTCCTTGAAAAGGGAAGGTGATTTGTAACTGTTAAAAGTGCTGTCTTCTGGCATTTTCAGGTTCTCCTTTCACCCTGGCACCTGACCTTTGGGCACAGAAACATAGGAGATGGGGAAAAGTTATGCATTAGCAGGTTACCCAGGTTTCACTGTCCATTTCTCTGACTCTTCATCATCTTTACTGCTTCTTCTTATGTTTTTTGATCAAAGAGTTTTACTCCCCTCAGGACAATCTTCACATCCTACCAACTGGAGGAACTGGAAAAGGCCTTCAATGAGGCCCACTATCCTGACGTATATGCTAGAGAGATGTTGGCCATGAAAACAGAGTTGCCAGAAGACAGGATACAGGTAATCATATCTCTTGGATTCCCTTATCACGCTCCTCTCAGCCATTTTCATCCCTCCCTGAAGAAAAGATAGCCTGGGAAGGCTGACATTTCTCTGAATAAACTTCCCCAGGCTGTCAATTCTCCTGCTTTCCATGGGTAGGCAGAGAGATCAGCTGTTCTTGGCAGATTTGCATTTGGTGTTTGTATGTCAACATGTGCTATGCATGGTGTGTTGTACCAGTGATTTAGGGTGTGTGTAACAGAGGGAATCTTAATTCAGAGAAGGAGAACAGACATGCAAGAAAAGACCACAGAGTTTTTGAGGACTTGCTATGGGAAAGAAGGTACAGGCAGGAAGAGAACCTCTTGGAGACTGTGTCTGGGTGGGCACTGTGAGAGGGAAAGAGCTCATCTATGCTCCTTTGGGCACAGAAGGATGCACAGGGATGGCATAGGCAGCTGGTAGTGCTGTGGGTGGACTCAGTGTGGGAATGATGGGGGAGTCCCAGAGAGGTGTTTATACCATCATTTTCACTTGAGAAGGCAAATGCCTCCTCAAGTGAAGTTTCCCTAAAGGTTTCTGGGGATATATATATTTTTTAAAAATTTGTTAAGCTTACAGTTTTTAACATTTGGGTTTTAGTTGCATGTCAGTCCTGTTGTGCCACCATGAGGAGGTAGAACAAGGTGGTGTGGAGTATCACCACTGTGTGGTGAATCCTCCCGTGATAAGGAGCAGTCTGAGCTGCAGGGCTGTGCCAGCACCATCCTTTGTCCTGTGTGGCAGCAATCAATGCAAGCAATCATTACAGCCAAAATGCTGGAGAAGACTTACAGCTGCTGTGTACAGTGTGGGAGGCACAATGTGCTTGGACGGACTACACATGATATTCACAAGGGTGGGCTCCAGCAGCTTTTGTTGCCTCCCTTCACTCATGACTTGCTCCTGCCAGGTTGCTACATAAGGCATAGGATTGTAATGGCTGAGCCTTGAGCAGCAGGTACAGGTAATATTTCTGGGCTGACTGAGAGTTAAACTGGCCTGGTCCTCCACACAGTGGCAGTGGCTGCCTCTGTGACTGGTGTATAGCAGTTTCTACAAGAGACATTGTCTTAAGTGCTACATTGTGTTGGGAGGGTCCTAGTTTCCCAGGTTCCTCCTTCTGTTCAGTCTCTCATGCGTGCCCAGCACCCGCTGAGCTGCTTCTTGAGCCTGTACTCTTTCTTTGCTAAAGAGATGGCCCAGGAGGCTGCTCCCTTGTGGGTTTGGAATGTAGCTCAGAGGGCACTTAGTAAGATAACACTGATGCTGGAAGCTGCTGTGGTCTAACCCTGTGCAGAGACAGGAAGATCCTCGCAAACAAAAGTGCAGCCTTTTTTCCCCTCAGTCCTGAGACCCCCCTCACCAGCCTTATTTTTATGCTTAAACAAGAGTGACATCTTTATAAAAGCAAGTCGTGCTTCGTATCCCATTGATCTGGCAGGACTCCTGCTGACCTAACAGCTTGTAGATAACCTTCATGCTGACAGGATTTCCACCAGTCTTCAGAGATAATGGCTCATCATCTGAAATCCTACCTGATGCATTAGGATTTTGCTCTGAGCAACAAGCCCTGATGCTTTGCCTCTAAAGAGTGAGATGGATGAAGGGTCAGTTCTCTTCTTGTGACCCTGTAGGACATCAAGTTAAGAGAGGAGAGACTTATCAGGAGTGTAGTGTTGCCTGCACCCACCATCTGATGCTGTCCTAGAAAGAGGATCCTTCGATTTCCCATAAAGGACCTTTTCAGCTGAGAGGTTTATCTGGTGGCACAGTATATGTTGAACTCCAGAGGCACCATTTCTCTGGCCAGAACTGAGGACTTTCACTATGTGTGAGGTGGAGGGAGATACTATGGCAGAGAGTGCAGAGCTGGACACTGCATGTACTGCTTCAGCATCTGGAGCATCCTTCCAGTGCTGAGACTCAGTGTTTTATCTGATACAGAAGCGAAATAGAAGCTAATGTATCTTAACTGTCACTGACTTGCTGCCATGTCATTCTGCAGCTGGCTAATAAACAACTGTCTACTCTCCCTGTTGCAGAATTTTTAAAACTAAGAGGGCTCCTTACTCGGACCCCTCTGCCCTAAAGATCAGGTTAGACTTGGACAGCAGAAGCACCCCATGGTCTGACCATCAGGTGTAACTAGTGGCATGTATATTCCAAAAGAAAGTGCTTGTGAGTAACAGTTTTCCTCATCGTGAAAGGGGAAATAATGAGAAACAGCAGAATTTATGTGGCATCTGTTGTGCGAGAGCCTGAGCTCCCTGCCAGGGTGAGCATCGGAGTCATGTAGAAGTCCTGAGCACCACTGTTCTTTCTGGTAGGTCAGCAACCGATTATCCCTTACCACATATTCTATGAAATTTCCTTGTCCATAGTTTTTTGTGTATGACAAACCATGCCAAGATAATTCCCACCTTTGATCACTCTTCTTGATATTTCGCCTCATATTCCTTTTCAACTTTAGCCCTTTGTGTTATGAGCCTAATTCTTTCCCCCTTGTTATAATGTTCACACTCTTTAAATAAATCTAAGCTATTTCTTCTCCTGGCTGTCACTTTTGGTTTTCATCATTGCTTACACAAGTTGCAAAGACCTTTCCTTAAATCATCCTTCATAAATCACACACTCATCTCTTAATCATTTGGTTGTTCTTACGTGGAGCCCATCCTGCCTGCCAGTCTTCCTGGAGATAAGAGACCACATGCCTACAACTGCATGCTGGGTGTGTTCACACTGGTTCAGCTGGATTTCTGAGCCCTTGTAGAAACAGCCTTGTATTAGCACTGGTCTGCTTGCTTCCTTATTTATTTTTTTCTATTTATCTAATTCAGTCACTTCAAACTTTTTTTGGACAGGTGTTTTTTTTGTTTTGTTTTGTTTTGTTTGTTTGGGTTTTTTTAATGCTCAGAATTTTCCCTTCAGTGTTCTGGATTTCATATGGCATTTTATTAACTTTGTCTGACAGCCATAATCACAGCTCTACCAGCTCTGACACTGGCAAGAGGTGGGTGCTAGAGTATGAGAACAGGGCAGCTATCCAGTGATACTTACTGAGTACTTTATCAGCCTCCTGGGATTTTGAACACATGTAAATATTTTAGTATCCTGCAGCAAGAGGTTCTGCAGCAGAACTGCCTGAGTGAAGTAAACCTTGCTTTGAATCTCTTAACATCATTTATTGCCCCTTGGAAGAGACAGCTGACAATGAATCTTATTCCCATTTTCATAATATTTATAATTCCACATAGTTGAATTCTTTTCCTTGCATGAGTTTTCAGCTGCTCAAGGGAGCTCTATATTCTTTAATTTTCTTTGTGGCTTACAGTTCCTCTCATCTTTCAACATTTCTCTCTCCCTCTTCTATATCATTAATGAAAGTGTTTTCTGAGGTTGTTGTGAGCATCATATGTTGTGGACTTCCACAGCATTCCATGTGGGTTCTCACTGGATCCACACCTAAGAGTGATATCTACCCCTTAATTTCATTCATGGAATTATTTCTCAGGAAGTAATAGTCAAAGAGAAAGTAAACCACCTATGAAATTTGATGTGAAAGTGAAATTCAAAGAGTGCAATTGAAAGAATGATATATAGGAACAGTTTGCAGGTAAAACCGTCAGCAGAATGCTACAAATAGCCATCAGAGGCCAAGAAAGTTATTGGTTTGAAAGAACATTGAATCCAGGAAAAAATATTCAAATCCTCCATTTAAAGAGAAGATGAACATGTGATTTTTTTTTCCAAGGCAGCACTCTTTACCACCGTGTGTGTCTTCCCCCCCCATTGAACTGGCTGCTCCTGGAAGAAAAACGAGCATCTTCCCATTGGGAAAGTAATTCTTTTTCATAGTGAGACACTATGCACAAGTCAGACCAGATGTCACTGTGGCCATTTTGCAAGGTACTAAAAAGTCCACATTAATCAATATATTTGAAAATATTCAGAAGAATTAAAGTGCCCCTATTAGAATAAACACAGACCATTCTGTAAGATCCAGGTGAGGTAAGTAGATTCCTGTGGGGAAGTATATCTTAATAAACAGAATGAAGTATTAAAAATGGCCTCAAGTATTGTGACATCTGACTTAAACTGCTGTTTCTCATAACAATACTCTTAAGTGTAATGAGTAGATTTTAGATAAGTTATCCCTATTGAATTTATTAATATGTAGCAGTTCTGAACTTTAAACACAGTAGTTTCAATATTAAAGTTCAGTAACAATTTGATTTGGGATTATTGAAATGTGTGTGTATGTTTTTCCTTATAATATGTCTCCTACCAATCAAACAAATTGATTAATCAGTATTTCCAAAAAATAAGATCCTGGCTGCCATTGGGGGGACACTAGAGTCACCTTTTTAGGGAACTAATCAATTGAGAAAGATAATAAAAGTGCTAAAAATTGTCAGTTCGTATTGTCAAAATATTATATGGTTATTATGTGGATGATTAATTTTCGGACACATAAAATTGCTCATGTAAGCAAAAGGAATCCCAAGAAGAGTCTGGTACTGTGCATGAGAAGTGGGGATTGTCTGTGTATCCAGCAAGTTTTGTCAGGCAGCTAAAAGGTCAGTTTTGGCTAAAACCAAAACAAGGTCAACTAAATCTCTAATTGAAAATGTATTGGTTTAGCTGCTTTCAGATTAATGCATTTCAGTATCACTGTGCAGGGAGTTGAACAGGGATGGAGGAATCAGGAAGAGTAGTCATTTGGAGGGAAGCATTTGTACCAAGAGAGTATTTTTCCAGAATAAGAGCCTTACCTTGCTTTATTTTTGCAAAAAGGTTTTCTATTTAGAGGTGAACATAATTTGGAAAGGCCTGAGGAACCTGAACTGCACTGAGCGTGAGCTCAGGAGTGAACCCAAGGAGTTCTCCCAAGAAACATAATAGAAAGTGTGAAGGAAAAATTAACTTTATGCAGCTTTAGCAGCCCTGGCTTCTCCCTCTCCTGCCAGCTTTTCTTG